TAATCCAATAATTTATGACTTGGTATCATTTTATTAATAAACAGAAAGACTGTTTCAACTTGAGTGTAAGAAGATATTTCATTTAATGTGAACCAGCTGTAAGTTTCTATCTCCTGAAATACCTTTTTTTTTTTTTTTTTTTTTTTTTTTTGTGCATTTCTCCAAATATCGTAAGCAGTCTGATAAAATGAAACAATAGCTTTTTGAAATTCAATAACTTGGTATTGTGACACATGTCCATCCTCTTCAAGTTTTCCTAGAGTTTAACATTATTTGGAATAAAGTTATCCTCTGCTTCGCTCAATATTGAACCTTTCAAATCATCCATTGAAGCAATTACATCAAATATCGACGCAGTTTGATTTTCAGTTGTTCTAATAACTTAAGGAAATATTGAAGCCTGAGTGTTAATGAAATGTAGCCAAGGTTCTGATTCTGGGTTTTCAAAGAATTTTAAAATAAGCATGGGAGACTTCACTTAAGATTGAAAGTAAACTTTCAGTGGTTAAAAACATTTGGAGTACCCTTTCAAACGGCGAGAAATAATGCTAACCATCTTGTTTATGAATTCCCTAGTATCATTGAAAAATCAGTTTCTATGAAGTTGCAGATATTTTTCAATGTTTCTACTCTAATAGTGCAAGAATAAAGTATGTCTTAAAAATATTCATTGCTATATCAACTGGCAGAACATCAGCTGATGTTCTTATAGTGTTACGAATGATATGCGCTGCACATCTGACTCCAATTAAACCATGGTTAAGGTTTCATTTCAGTTTAACAAGAATATTATTTTCTCCGTGTCTTTCAGATCCTCCAAAGTTAGAATTCGTATTATTGGCACAAAGAACTATAACTTTTTTAAAAAATTATTTTCTTCAAGACCGATAGTTAATAGTTGCTGACAATATGACATGTTTTATGAGATAAGAATTTAAATTCTAAAATTTTTTCTCTAACTCGATAACTCCAATCTATAAATCTAATAAGTATTAGAAAAGTTATTTCCATGTGATTGGATTCCTCAGTTAAGATTGAAACAAATGAACACTTTTCCAAATCATTGTGCAAAGCTGTTAAAGTAGGCATGGAAACATTTAGTATTATTGCTTTGGCCTTGACTTGCGCATATGTAACTTTAGGCTTAAATGATACTTGAAGTAGCTTAGACGTACAGTCTATAGATCTATAGCTATGGTTGTGAAAAATAGTATGGTATGAAATAGTACCTTTTATTGTAGCTGATCTTCTTATCACTTATTTTCTCTTGTTTGAAAAATTTCTTTAATAATAAGCTGGATGCAAGAGAAAAGTCTGACATTTGACATTTTATGTTTATTGCTATTTATATGAAGTTTAATATCTTTACGTTCACCATGGCTTATTGAAGATTTTGAAGAAATGTATTGCAGCATAAATTGGAACCAGTATAGTTTTTTTCAGTACATGGGTATTCCTTCAGTAGGCCTTCGTTAAATGTTCACATTCTTGTTTTGAACCCATTACTAAAAAAAAGTCAATAGGATAAAAAAAAATAATAAATTAAACTGCAGTAAAACATATCCCTAGCGCATATGTAATGCACCATTGATAAATAAAAAATATATGTGTCTTTTCGAAATAGGAAATATCATTACATGTTATTGTTTCCGCAGATTTAAAAAAAAAAAAAAAAAAAAAAAAAATACCCCTTATGCAAAATCAAAATGATGATGGTCTAAATGTAGCAAAAGAAGAATGATTTTAGATGGGTATATCTACAGTGAAATTTCAGCAAATGACAAAAGAATTTATTTATAGATGCTGTGTGATGCGTAAGGGGATGGTATAACTACCGTACGTAATGCACCCCGTTGAACAGATATATAATGCAGCATTGATAATTAAAAAATATATGTATATATTATAAATTCAAATCACAGTAGCATTAATATATCAATTAAAAATTACAATGCTTGTCTGTAAATGAAAATCTGAACTGCAACTGTGACAAAACAAAACAGTAAAAATTTTGTGTATGTTTACAGAGAGGGGGAGGCAATTAATATATAAATTAAAGGGGTTGGTACTAAAAAAGGCCGTAAAAAATCACTAAACTATTTTTGATGAAAGTGCTGCCAAAAATAATTTCGTCAACCCTAAAGAAAGGAAGTATAATAGTAAATAACTAAGTTTGATGTTTTAATTTAGATGAAAGGTTAATTTCATATAATACTTTTTTATTATTATAATTTATATAAAAAGGCTAAACATGACTAAATGGAAGCATAAGAGTAAATAACTATTTCAGGTCATTATTATAATTTATATAAAAATTGCTAAACATAACTGAATGGATGCCTGCATCTATATTTCACTACCGTGTTATTGCTAAAGCATAATTCATCTCTTTGGTTGTTCAAACATAATTTTCTCTAATGAATGATGCTTTTTCTTTGAAAACATTTTTGGTAAAGTGCAGAATCGCCCTTTATTTGTTTGCCCCTTTTTACAAGGGTTAAAAACAATTGGATTTTTGTCAATTTTCTTTTACTTTGAAAATAGGAACTTTGGAGTGAAAATAGGTCGATGTGTACATATATAAAGTCAAGGGTGTGCGCAGTGCCATTTTTGTGCAATTCTGGGATTTTTTTTTTAAAGTGAAAATAGTTTGCTGTGTACATGGGTAGCGAGTATGTGCAATTCTTAAAAACACATCAAGCAATGGGTGAATCTGTACTTTACCCAAAATTCTATTGCAGACTTTTCGTCAGGGGTAATTCCCAAATTGTTAAATCCGTAGAATATCAAAAAAAGGATTTAAAAATTAAACTAGTATTTCAATGCCGTCTTAAGAAATATAGAACTATGTAAACTTATGCAATCTGAAATCGGTGTGTACGCTAGATTTGGCACACTGTTAAATGGGCACGTTTGTTAGATTTGGCACTTTTGCGCATACATTTTCGCTGCAATTTTTTTATAGTCCTCAAAACAGAATAGAACCAAAGGGGCAATTGCTAATATACCAACAATGGCATGAATATATCAATTAAAAATTGCAGTGCTGTCTTTAAGTGAAAGTGTAAACTGCAACTGTGAGTAAAAATTCTGTGTGTGTTTGTGGAGAGTGGGGAAGAAATACAGGGATGAGAAATAGAACTTTGCCACTACAATTTTTCTAAGGTAAATGCTATATGCAGAAATTGTGGCACATGTCTCTTAACTTGCACTTGTATTCTCAGTTTGCAATCTACACTACTTAAATAAATATATGCATATAAAGTTTTACATTCTCACACTAGTGTTTTTCAGAACAGTTCAGAACAAATGCTATGAATTTGAAACCAAAAAACGAGTTGCAAAAAATCGGGACAGGGACTGAAAATTCGAAGCATATGGTCACCTTTATTATAGATATCAAATTTCTAACAGAATCATTATTGGAACTGTTTTGTTAAACTCATACCACACTTTTTTTTTTTTTTTATTTATTTTTTATTTATTATTTTTTTTTATTTTATTTATTTTTTTTTTTTTTTACCATATTGGACACATTTTGACTTACTTCTTGCTAATTACTACACATTTTTCTCTACCCCCTACAAGCTTTTCCAGGTTTTGTCTCCCTTTTAGTAAATTTTTTTTTTTTTTTTTTGGGTTAACTTTTTTGCCTTGATTTTTGTTGGTTGAAACCTCTCCTTGACAAAAGGAAAAACATCAGATGAAAGCAAATGCAGAGAAAAGTTTAAAATACTGTTTGTTTAAATGATTAAATTAAGCATATAAAACTATTGTGCCTTCTCCACTACTGCACAAGCACTAAAGACTGAAAAAGATACCTGGCATCCAGATTATCAAAATGACGAGCATGATTTACTGTAAAATATTCTAAATACCATATACTAAAATACATTGCAGAAAGGGTATTTGCCTTGTAATTATTGTGATTACTTAATAATTAATTTTGAAATACGTATGCCAAAATATTTTCACTTTTTGAAGAGATCCCATGTTTTATTTCTTCAAAATACATAGTTTTTTTAAAACCAATAATTAATTTAATATTTTCTTAATTTAAAAGTTTGAAATATTGTTAGTTGAATTAACTTGAAGTTTTTTTTTTTTTTTTTTTTGTTTGTCTGCAAAACAAACCTTTTAAAACGTTTTGCAGAATATGCAAAACCAATATTCTTCTTTCTCGGAATCTCACCAACTTACCCATGCTTGCTAGTTTGCTTCAGTAACCACACTTGTTAGTCAGTTTCATCTGTTCTAATCTTCATAAATTTTCCAGGTTTATGAACAGAGTTCGTACTGTTTCTAAAGTAGAAAGAGTTTTCAGATTTATGAACTTCCAGTACTTAATCTTGAAAATTTTAAGTATACGAGAAACAATGCCCATATTTTCCATATTTTTTGCATATTATATACAGCCCTATATTGCATATTATATACAGCCCTTTCCTTAATTTTTGCTATGAGTGTGCACTTGCTTATCCGTTTGACCACAGAATTTTTTTCCAAAAATGGTGCTTTTATATAAAACAAGATTTGAAGGTTCATGTCAACAAAAACAACAAAAAAAGGGGGGAAGCATAATGGAATGTTACAAAAAATGACATATAGCAATGTGCTTTCAGGTGCTGCAGTGTGCACTGGTAAAAATGATTGTCATGCTAGGGATTATTTTGAAGCAAGTACTTTACATTGTTTACAATAAGAAACTGTATGCCAAATTCTTCAACTTTTGAATCCTGTTACATATATGCTGATGCCATTTCATTGTAACGTCTTGTCAACAAGTTATAGGCATTTTATTCTGATTTTCACTGTCTGTATATTAAATGCTTGTTTTATTTGTATACTTCATTAATGTAAACAAAAATAGCATTATTTATTAAAAGTTTGTGCTATGAATACTTCATTTCTTGCTGCTTATATTCCATTTTATTAAAAATGTGATGAGAAATTTTAGTTGAAAATTAAACCATTTTGTAAAAAACATTTTTTTTTTAAAGGCTCGAAAAAGTGCAGAGTATGCCAAATGCCATACTTGACAGATGAAGAAATTATTCAGCATTTCAAGGTATTCAGAGAACTTTCATTTTAGAAATAAACAGATACTTTCTGATATTTTCACCCTCTACTGAAAAGTCACAGACTTTGGAGAGCATTCACAAATTCATTGGTGACTGATTTTTTGTTAAGCTGGTGCATGAAAAGCAACATCTATTTTAAAAGTAATGATACGCTATGAATTCTATACAAGAACACTCTACCAATAAAATTAAAAAAGCAAGAAGCTTCATTAATAAAATAACTTTTTTGAGAAATTGTTCATTTTTGGACTTGTTTTCTCTACGCAGTGATTTGTTGCACTAACTCAGCTTAGTACAACTTCCACACTGCAGACCAGCCAAAACAGACATGTGCTACACTTATACCTGGGTTGCCATGTAAGTACTTTCGGTGACATCTTGTGTTGCCACAGTATTTCGGTAATATACTGCTTTGTCTTATGAATCTTTTTCGTGACTTTTTGGTTGGGAAGCCAATAATCAGAAAGTACCGATAAGTATATATTATACAGGCATTAAAAATTTCATTTATTAGTGTTTCAAATATATGTACAGTGTCTCAAAAAAGTGATGGGACACTTGTGCTTTACAAAAGGAAACTTCAATAAAATAAATTTAAAAAACATGTAAACTTTTTTGTGGGTGTGTTTCATACTTAAATTTAGTAACAATTATTACATAACATACATTTTCTCAAAATATTAAAATATTAATTTAATAAAAATAAAATTGTTTAGAACGGAGCAGAAAATGGCTCACTTAAGTGATGGGACACTACGTACTATGCCACAAAAATCGTCTGAAGTAAGCAATAAAAATATCTTTTGGGGTATTTATTTTTACTCAAAAGCAATTGCCAATAATTTATAAAATCGTCTGCAGTATTTCTCTCCAGTTTGTTTTGGACTTTTTGTGTTTTTTAGCTCTGTGCAGCCATGAATGCTAAACGAAAAGAAACTTTGCCTGGAATTCGAAAATTAGTTATTAATTTGCATATTGAACGTGGAAAATCTATTAGAGAAACTACTGAAACAGTTAACTTCAGTCATTCAACAGTTTTCAATATCATTAAAAAACGATATAAAAAGAATCATATGATTCAGGATAAAAGAAGACCTGGCCGACCATCAAAGCTATCCAATGGAATAAAGCGAATTATAGTTCGAAATATTTAAAAAAAATCCAAGAATGAGTGCTCCTAAAGTTGCAGCTGATTTAAAAGCATTATATGGAGTAATTGTTAATTCTGAGACCATTAGAAGAGTAATTCGATCTGCTGGATATCACGGTAGAGAAGCCAGGAAAAAATTCTTCGTAAGTGAAAAGAATAGAAAACTCAGACTGGCTTTCGCAAAATCCAACATAAATAAGAATTCTGATTACTGGAATGAAGTTATATTTGCTGATGAGAGTAAATTTAATATATTTGGTTCTGACGGTAGAATCTTGGTGTGGAGAAAAACCCAGGGAAGAATTTCGCAAACAGAACTTGGTGCCAACAGTAAAACATGGTGGAGGAGGAGTTATGGTATGGGGGTGTATGTCGTCCGCTGGATGTTTGTAATCTTGTTTTTATTGACAGTATAATGGATCAGGCACAAGTATATTGAACATTTTAAATCAAAATTTGAAATCTTCAGGCACGAAAATTGAACCTTCGTAACGATTTTAAATTCTACCAGGGCACAATGACCCCAAGCACACTGCTTTGAACGTTAGACTCTCTGGCTGCAGTATAACTGTCCTGGAAATAATAAAAACACCACTCTACAATCTCCAGACTTAAATCACATAGAAAATATTTGGCAAGAAATTGGAATCAAGAATTCGCAAACACACCATTTCTTTTCTTCAAACAACAAAATTAAAATCGGTGCTTCAAGAAGAATTGGGTAAAATCACTCCAGAAATCACAAAAAAAAAAAAAAAAAAAAAAAAAAAAAAAATTTAGTCGAATCAATCCCAAGAAGATTACAATCATGTTTTAAAAGTAAAAGGAAATCCAACAAAATGTTAAAACCTTTTAAAAAGTAAAATATTTGATGGAAAAGTAAGTGTCCCATCACTTAAGTGAGCCATTTTCTGCTCCGTTCTAAACAATTTTATTTTTATTAAATTAATATTTTAATATTTTGAGAAAATGTATGTTATGTAACAATTGTTACTAAATTTAAGTATGAAACACACCCACAAAAAAATTTACATGTTTTTTTAATTTATTTTATTGCAGTTTCCTTTTGTAAAGCACAAGTGTCCCATCACTTTTTTGAGACACTGTATGTCTTATATAATACGAAATGTTTTAGAAACTGTTTGATTTCATACACTTGTATTGTAAGTTTGACAAAGTCTTGTTTTATTATTCTTTTGGAGCATTTAATTCTTTTATTATACATAGTTTTATTTTTCTAACATGTTTTTAAAACTTATTAAAATTTTCATAAAATTAGTAATAATATATATTTGATTTTCCAGAAAATTTTTATTTCATATTTCTTAATCCCATCTAGGTTTTCTTAATCAATAGAGTAATAAATGTTAATAGAGTAATAATCTGATGTTTAGTTAAAAGATTTTTATGAGGGAATGTCACAAATTGGCGTGATATATTTGAGAATAGCAATGAGTACTTTCCACTTATATTAATAGGTTGCAGAACCATCCTAGTTCATGATATTCATTTAGATAGTTTACTGAGTACCAGTTGCACATGTGCAGTTCAGTTTGAAAATGCTATTGAAACTCGATTATTATCCTGTTGTCCATTTTTTGGGAAGGCAAAAGGTCTTCTTGTAAATAATGTTCATAAAGGAATATTTCTTGTTTATGGAAAGAAGTGTTTGTCATAGTGGGTTAAGAAGTATTTTCAACATAAATTTCATTTTGCAAACCAAATTGGGCATCCTATTCAGATTAAAATGGACTCAGCAGTGCAGAGGATGGAGAAATTAATTCAAGAAATGTACTGTATACTATACCAATAACAGTAGTAGTTTCCTGTTTGGTCTACTAAAAACATTTTGGAGACAAATTCTTTGCAGATGCTAATAGTATTCAAGATGAAGCCTTAATGTGGCTGAGAGAGCAGCCTGAAGAATTTTGGGAATTTTAAATTTTATTTTCATTGCTATTGTTTTTATGGAATTCTCTTATCTATCTCTAATAATACATTCTGTGCCCTATGAGTTCAAAATTTAAATTGCCTTTTACACAAAAGGCAAATATCAATTAATTTTTGAAATTGCATAAAAAGCTCCTTCTCCTAAGGTTAGTTTTTTAGCATGGAAAAGAGAAATGTTACTGACAAATATGCTTAAATAAAAGTGTACTTAATATTGAATTTTTTTTACAGAATTTTAAGGAGGAAAAATCCAATGTTTCAATGACATTTTCGTTCGAAATACGGAATTTAGGAGTTCCAAACACATTCTGTTATGATGTTTCGTTTTGGTCGAAGTGACTCTTGAAAATACCCTTTCTACAACTGCATTGCTTATTGGCAAACTTTAAAGATTAAACAAATTAATCAATTAAGCACATCATAAAACATCAGCCACTGGTTATAAAGTGCATTTGCTCTATGATCTTAGGTTTGCCTGATGCCAACTTCTATTTAAGCCTAGATTGCTTTCTTTTTATTTATTTATTATGAACTTATTTTAGCAGATACATTGTTTTAATATATAAAAGTTTTAATGAATTAAAAAATTTTAAACTCATAAAAAGTAGCACAAGGAAATGAAAAAGTAGCAAAATTTTTGCAAAATCAAATACACACAAATTTTAGTCCTAGAAGTTTCTCAAAAGTAGCAAATTTGCGAAAAAATCGCACGATCTGTCAACACATCATTATTATTATAATTTTAAAGCACAGTTGATCTTATATAGTGTTTAATTTATGGACTGCTAAAATACCAGCGTTATTGATCATATGTATTTTGATTATTCATGAAGAATGCAGTAATGTAGAAACTCATGAAACCATTGCCATTGCTTCTTCATTTCCACATAAAATAAATAAAAATATAAAATTAATTCAAAATTTATTACTATTGCTAGTTTATTCAGTGTTTTTTACATGCATCAGAGTTTTTACTTATTGTTTGCTAGCATTTCTAATTGTTGTTTCAAAAGGCAGAGGAATTTTAAGTTTTCTTAGATATTTTAAAATGAATATTAACAATTTCCTAGCTATTTTTAAAATTGATTAAAATTGAATTTAAAAAAAAATTAATATTTTTAGAGAGTGAAAAATTGTGTTTGTTCATTTGCAGGCTAACCATCCAAGATGTATCTGTAAAGAATGTAATTACATGGCAGAACAACCCTATGTGATAAAGAGGCATTCTTACAGACATAATAACAGTGGCTGTTTTTGTAAAATATGTGGAAAAAAATATAAGGTATTCTTTTCTTATCTTCTCCAACTCATTTTGTTATTCATCTTATTGAATTACATTGATTTTTAGAGCTATTCATCAACTGGTATTCTTCAATTGGTGTTTTTGGATAATACAATGTGATTATAAGTGATTCACTGGGTTTTAAAACACTGTATTTCAGAAGAAATATTTTACACATGGAATAATGAATGATACATCATAATAAACATTAAATATATAAGTTTACATATTAATTTAAAAATTTGTATGATAAACTTACTGACAAACTTCCATAATATTGGGTTTGGCAATGCACTGAAAATTATTTAACATTTTTTAAATGGATCTGTCTTTTGAGGTATCCCTCAAAAGATTTAAGCATGTAGAGACACATTATCACAGATTTTTTTTAAAAAAAAAAGTGTCATAAGTATCAGAACACTCAAAATCTCTGTCTGCAATCCAATCTGGCCATTATTTCCGCCAAGCCAAATTTTTGGCCTTGTAAGTTATTTACTGCCAGCCTTTGTTAATGAGGACCAAGCAACAGAAACTATCAAAATAATGTTTCTTATTATCCCTGAGTATTAGTATGCTAAGAATTTTTTATGTAACTCTAGTACAGTCAAAAGTCGTTAATTCGGACACCCATAATCCAGACCTCAAAGTACAAACTTTCTGTGCATGCGTCGCGTGGACGCAAAGTCCTTTACGACTGCTAAATATGCGTGTGCGCATGCACAAAATACGTTTATGCATGCGCGTTTAATGTATAACGGACGGTATAAGCTAAGCTAAAATTATCTAATTCAGTTAATGTTCCAGATTGCGTTGTTCTTTAATCTTCAAATTGGATCCGGCTTATTATTTTTTTGCAGACTGTTAGACCAATTTTATAATAGTAAGCTTGAACTTTCGATTATGTCAAATAGAATTTCCGATATATATTTACTAATATGTAAAGGATCTACAAAGCGAAAGTATGTTTCGAAGTCCATTAAACAAAAAGTGGAATTGCTGCAAAAAATGGATAAAGGCATAGCCTTTGTTTATCTAACCATTCTGAAATCTGTTTATCAATTTCGCGCTGCTCTGCAGCGGGATGACGACGCGGCACGCAATGAATTGGAAGTTTATCTGTCAGCACTATCCTTATCTTCAGGGCAGATGTTTTTATTTTATTTGGCATATAATTCCTTATTAAATGTAGTATTTCATCTCGATGTACTCCGTCTTTGATATGATTTAAATCAAATTCCTCGTCATTATTATTCGCTTCCGATAGCGAAGAAAGTAAAGTAAACAAATAAATATTAAGCTTTTTTTTTTGTAAATTTTGATACCCTTTAGATCATAATTGTTCTTTATTTCATAAATTACGGTTTCATATTTTTAATTTTATAATTTCTCCATGCCATCTTACCAGATTTAAACTGATGATCTATAATCCAGAAAAATCGATAATCCGGAATCACCGAAGTCCCAACGAGTCCGGATTAATGACTTTTGACTGTACTGAAAACTTCGATTGAGGTCAAGAATAACATTTCTAATGCATGTATGGCAGCTAATAGTTAGATGGTGGGGCAGGTGTACACCAAACTTGAATGCTTCGTAGACTTAGTGTGTCCATAAGAAGCCACATTGTAAATTTGTGATAATATGAACAGAAACTTGGATATCTACTGTTTATTTTCATATATCATTCATATGTAATTTTTTTAAGTGCAGTGTTTTCATAACCCTATGAATTATTTACAGTCACCATGTATTCATTATTTTGCTTTGTAAACATTTGTTGATTGTTATTTAAGCTATTTCTTATATAAAGCATTCTGCAGACAAAAAGAATGCTTTCTAGTTTAGCATTTCAAAACATTTTTTTTTCTTTGTACCCCAGTGTATTTAAAAATATGCATTCTTTAACAAAAGTAGATTTCGTGTTTAGGATAGAAGGCATACATGAGTTATAATGGATGTTATAAGTTATGAATAACAGTATCCATAAGCATCTTAAAAGATGAGATACAAAATCTGAGATCTGGAATCATTGGGACTTTAGAAATTTCTGGATTGTAGATCACCAATTTAATTCTGGTAAGATGACATATAGACATGGCAACATTGTAGCCTCATTTATTGTTTATGTCAAGTAGAATACTAACCCTCCAAAAGCACCAAAAGCCAGTGCAGTTGCTCTAGATGGAAAAATTCAAACGTTGTAAACAATTTAGAAATTAGAGGGAGCATTGAGGAGCAAAAATTAGGTATGGTAAAATTTTTAGAGTTTAGGGAGGTACTGGGTGCAGAATTTAGGACCTGCAGAAATTTCGGCAAATGGGTAGTGCTGGCACTGTCATCTCCTCACAACTACTTAAGAACTGGGAGAGTGATCCTGGTCAACATCAACATAATCCTGATCAATGTATTGTTACTGCCTACAGTGCAACTTCCTAAGTGTTTGAAAGTAAAATCCAGGAATCTCAGTTAGTTGTGAGAAAAATTACATTCACACCACATCTGCTTTTTACAGTCTCCTTCCTAGATTTTATAAGAGAGGATTTTTCAGAATTATTCATTTATTTATTTTTTGGTTGGCAATCCAGAGGTCCAGGTATTGGACATCTGGATTTTGGGCTTGTACAGCATTAGAAAAGGTGTGGAAAATATCTAGCAGTGTAAACAAGAAGAATGTATTACAGCAATGCGAGTTTTGATTTTATTCATGTGAATCATGAATTCTTTATTTATGTATTTTGTTATACAGGAATCCAAAGATTTTATTCTGAGATAAATTTATTTCAACATTTTGTTTTAATGAATATGTGGCTTATTTTATTTATTTATTTATTTTTCAGTGTTAAAATTGATACCACATACTATATTTTCTTAAATTAGTGTGTCACTGCTATTATTTTTCTTGAAATGTAGTTTTCTTGAAAGTTCTCATCTGTGCTGCTGGCAGCTTGCTCCTGAATAATAATCAGCAGTGTTGAGTAACAGTAAGATTAATGATGGTACTTCCTGATTATCCCCTTGCCCCCCAAAAGTTGCAAACTCATTGGAGACTAATTTTTTTGCCAAGCTGGTGCAAAAGTTAGCAGCCATGTGTAATAAGGTGGCACACTAAAAATTCCATACAAAACTAGTCAGTCAACGAAACTGAAAATGCAAGAAACATCAGTACAAAACACTTTATTTTATTTTATTTATTTATTAGTCCAAAAGGGCAATTTGCTCAGAAGGACTATTAATTTTGTTTTGGCATTTTGCATCGATTCACTATAAATGTTGATTCACTTTTCAAATTGTTGCCAATAAATATTAGAGCCCTGCATTATATTTAAAGAAATGAAATAAAGAAGAATCTGTATAAATGTATGTATGTTTCTTGCACTGTGATAAAGCAACAGTACCTAAAGCCATCAAATTTTGAATAACATACGTTTCCACCTGAATGTGGGCATCTGGAAGCCCAACTTTGGATTTTATTTTATTATCTATTTCATATTTTGTAAAACTTAAATGAATTTTTGATTAACAGAATGATTTCAAAGCAAGCAATGGCAACACTGTATTGAGGGGGGGGACAATTTTTATCTCTAGAGCACGAGATTGTGTATCGGAAATTGTGAAGATATGCTCATTTTAAAATTATTTTGCTATATTGCTCCTGAACTGAATTTTGTGGTTTAAGTGCGAAGAATATGATATTTAATAAATAAAGGTAGCACACAAAATGTTACAAAAAAAAAAAATCCCCCTTTAGGCGTAATGTAAAATCCGAAAGCTTTCAGATTTATTTATTTATTTATTTATTTTGAGAAATCCTTCTTTTTTGCACTTTTATTTCCTATATAGGCACAGCAATATGTTTTCATTAAGAAAAATGGAGAACTGCATAAACTTGGCTATGCACAACATGAACAAATAAAATAGACTAATATTAATAAATTGAACATAAATTGAACACTGGCTAAAACACTGGCTAACACACATAATAAATTGAACACTGGCTAAAACAAATAAAATAGACATGTGCTACAGACATACCTGAAGTGCCACATAAATACCTTTTGCTAACATTGTGTGTTGCCTTATACCTATTTCAGCGACATAATTATATTACTTTGTTTCGTCAATACTTTTTTTAAGACTTTTAGATGAGGGTGCAAATAATTAGAAAGTATCTTAAGTAATCATTATTGATGAATAATAAATATCAGCCACACCAATGTAGTTTATTCATCACTATTTATGTTATGTCAAAATGTTAGCAAAATTTGCATATATGTTTTTTAATAATATAGAACATAATGAAGATATCAAAATTAATTTGTCAGTTATGGAAGCTCCGAAAACAACTGTTTTATATCATCAAAAAATTAAAAGCTGAAATATTTTGTAGAACTGGTGAAAAATGTAAAATAAATTGACATCTTTACAAAAAGTAACCTTACCATGCAGAGGGTTAATATTTTCAAATTAAAGCTTTGCTTATATATAGTTTTTCTGTCTCGTCATTTTATTGATTAATTAACACCAGTATCTTTGTTAAATTTGTGCAGGATCATTACATTTTAAAAATGCACATAAAAATGGTACATTTGCCTGCTGAAGTTTTATATTCCTGCAATATATGTGATAAAAAGTTTACAAGGAAGGCACATTTGAAGCGGCATCTAAGAATTCATGAACCTGATAAACCATATAAGTGCCTTTACTGTGATTATAGGTGAGTAATTTTATTTTATCGTTTAAATATGTATATGTGCATACATATACACTGAAGTATTCAATTAACTTGTAGAATTGCATGCCAGTCATTTAATTTTGTTTATATATTTACTTATTTATGAATTAAGGATTTTTGGTCTTTTTTATGTCTTGTTTTATAAAAATGATGATGTATTTTTTTTTATGTGCTTGGTGTCTATTGAGGTGAGGCAAGTTAATAATCTGATTCTACTCTTCCTCAAATTTTAATGTATATATATATTTATGCTTTGCTGTTGTTCATACATTGTTTCTTAAGTTAATCTAATAATTTCTTTTAAGAATTTTGAAATTGTGCATTTAGTTAGATTTCCTCATGCAAGTTAATATTTTATTCAAAGAATCTAATTGAAAAATATACTGGAAATATCTGTACACTTTATTTTTTCTCCTTTGGGTCATTTAAGTGATAAGTGTCTCACATTCCTTTTATATCAGTGTGGCTCATCAGGGCTAAAGAAAGAGAAGGGCTGGGTCATCCCTTTGAGAAGAACGATGCCGACACAAACCCCTCTTGGTGACCATACCGGATGTTATGTGACTTCACTGGGTTCGTCCCGTCGTCGACTGACCAGAGCATCAGTGCGAAAGATTGAATCTTTAGTTCTTGGATTCTCTTTCTTTAGCTCTGTTAGTTTCAGAGAAAGAGTTTTTTATTTATTTATTTATTTATTTATTTTTTATTTTAAAGTTATAACTGATGATACTTTTAAAGGAATTTTGTATTTAGAAAGTTCTTGCAATGAGAAATCATTGAAAAATGGTATCGTGTGCCGTTGCTACCTGTAGCAATACGTATCATAATACGAAAGAAACTAGCATGGTATTTCATAGATTTCCGTACAAAAATATTCAGTTAACGAAAAAATGGTTGCATAGGTGTCAAAGAGCGGATATTGTTAACACAAATAGTGCTCGAATATGCAGCAATCACTTCACTGAATCTGATTATGAAGATGATATGAAAAATAGGTTACTAGGATTACCGACAAAAAAGATACTGAAGTCAACTGCTATTCCAATTGCTTGTATTCCTGACTTGGTTATTTATCAGAATATACCAAGGCAGCAAAGGCAAAAAAAAAAAAAAAAAAAAAAGAAAAAAATTACAAAGTGCATTTGGAAGAATTCAGAATTTAAGTCCTAAAAAGGCATGTCTGGAACTTCAAAACAATAACAATAATAGCTATGAGGAGCTCACTGAAAATAATATTACTCAGCAATGTTGTAACTGTTCCAACCTCCAGAAGAACGTGAATGATTTAATCACAAAATTATTAGCTCTTGAGAATAAGGTTTCTGTTTTACAGACTAAGAGAAAGCAGCATTTAAAAACTATCTCCCAGCAAAGAAAAAGATTTAAAAGAAATAGAAAACTAATATTAGAAGAAGTTCAGAAACTGAGGAAGGACATTAAAAAAGTGAATCAAGAAAATGAAAAGCTAAGAAAAATGAAAACGTATATTCAAAACATATTTACCGAAACCCAAATAAATGCATTAATGAAAAAAGCGAATTAAATGGTCTCCAGACGACATTTCAAAAAGCATAGTAATCAGATCCTTATCCTTAAAGTCATACGACTTCTGGAAAGAAAAAATGGGTATTCCGCTTCCAAGTGCAAGTACACTGAAAAGATGGTGCTCAAGATTCAGTTGCATTCCTGGCATTTTAAATAATGTACTGTTATTGATAAAAAAATCTTGCCAAAATGAAACTGACGAAGAAAGATTATGCGTATTAAGTTTCCATGAAATTTATATAGATTCAAGACTCTGTTATGATTCAAAATTAGATCAGATATTAGGTCCTTTTAAAAAGACTCAATTTGTATTGGTTCGAGGACTCGTTTCGCAATGGAAACAGCCCATTTATTTTGATTTTGATCGTCAAATGAAGGAAAATCTTCTGTCTTCCATTTTGTTTGCACTTGAATCGTCTGGGCTTCGAGTCAAAGCAATTTTATCTGACAAGGGAGGTAGTCGGACCCTTTGGAAAGAATTACAAATTTCAACAGATTAAATCTTTTCTTTTACAGTGTCCCCAAGTTCAGCACCAAAATATGGGTTTTCGCTGATATGCCACATTGCATAAAGCTTTTGAGAAACCATTTTCTTGATAAAGGGTTTTTCTGATCAGAAATGGTACAATTATGAAACAAAGACGTTATATATGAAGTACTCAATAAAGATATCGGAGAAATTAAACTGTTCTATAAACTGAAACCTCAATTTTTATCTGTGAAAGGGAACGAAACGACAGAAAGTAGCACCAGCAAAAGCCTTTATTTGCCTCCAAAAACGGCTAAAGCAATTATGCATTTGACTGGTAATGCTGCAACAAGTAATTTTTTTTCAATGGTTGATGATTTTTTTGACATTATGAATAGTAATGTACCATTACCCTCTAGCAATAAGCTTTTAAAAGCTGCTTTTGTCCTACAAAGCTATTATGAAGTACAAAAAGAAAAATTAAATGAGATCAAGCAAATGATTTTTGATTTCGGAGTATGCAGAAAGAAGACAATGCTACCTTCTCAGAAAGGTATTATCATGTCGATAAATTCGCTCTTCGGTTTATTTGACGACGTAAAATCTATAAATGTGAAATATATTTTAACATCAAGACTGACTCAAGATGTATTAGAAAGCTTGTTCAGGCAGATTCGGGATCTAGGGCGTTTTAATGACCATCCGTCTCCATCAGACGTAATAATTTGCCTGAAAAGGTTGCTATTGGCAAACAAATTGCCTAAATTGTCGTTAAAGACAAATGTTAATGACTGTGAAGATGTGAAGAAAGTTGAAGCATATTTGACAAAAGAGCTGTTAGAAACAGCTTTTTCTTCAAATGAAAAAGCACAAATGTTTGAGTCTTCCTTATACGAAGATGATTTAGTTAATTACGAAGACAATCTATGATGATGAATGTACGTCACTTCCTTGGGAAACAGAAATTTATGATTCAACGAAAGATATATCTGCATATGAACAAGAATCGCTCGCTTATGTGGCAGGTTATATTGCATATCGTGTAAAAGATAAAGATCCTACTTTGGGTGAAATATAAAAAAAAATCGTAGATATATCTAACGACTCAAATTGGATATTTTTATTATCTAAAGGAGAATTAACTGTACCATCACCAGTTTGGATGGAAACGATGATGAAAATGGAAAATGTTTTCCATTCTTTTCATGCAAGTTCTTTTCGAAAAGGTAGAGGTGTAATTCAGAATCTCATTTCGGAACTTGAGAAACGTTTTCCCTCCGTGAATAAGAGTGCAATTCGTTTATTTTGCCGTTCACAAACATTTATAAGGGTTCGGCACTTGAATAGGAATGCAACCCTTGTATCGGCAAGAAAAGCTGACCAGAAAGCAAATAAATGGATGAAAAGTAATAGAGGATTATTGAACCAAACTATACAGGAAAAAAAATCATGTAAGTTGATTCATATTATTCCTACCAAAAATAATAATTTGAATCATTACTTTGTTTATTATTCACTTAATTTGTGACCTAATTTATGCATGCTTCAGTTAATTATTTGGACTACTATATAAAATATTATATATTATTATATACTAATTTAGACTGCTAAATTTTACTATATAAAATAAACCATGAAATTCTGAATAAACATAAATTAGTATCAGAGCATATACTTTTAAATTGTAAGAATACATACTATTATTCCAAAATATATAAATAAGTATTTTCATTATTTTTTGAGTAATTGACGTTAAATAATAATACTGATACTGATATTCCATAATAATGCTTTCATAATAGACATTGCAAAAGCTTACAAAATTCTACTACTCATTATCAACGCTAATTGAAAAGCAAAAATGGGAAGTGAAATTTGTTTCATTTTAATGTGTTATGAAATCTATTATTAGTATTAACTAGTTTTTAATTAGATAGATGTGTAATGTCTTTAGCATGTATTCTCAAAATGTATTTGCATATTTTTATTTAATATTTCTATAATGCAAATTACTTTGCGACTAACTTATATTTTAACGCAAAAAGAATTCTTCGTAAATGTAGAAATTTACGTATGTTATCGGTGGGTTACTATTTACATATATTTAAAAAGATGATTATGAAAAAGAATTACTACATTTAGGGTACACTCGACCTAAAAAAATTAGTTATGTTTACGCATATGTGTTAATTAAAAAATAGTTATGTTTATGCATGTTTTACTTATGTTTTACGCATATTAGAGTTTAATTTGGTATGACGTAAATACATTTCTAGTTCATATATAAATGCATGTATATTGCAATTTCATGAGCTAAAATCTCGGCTCATATTGGTTGTTAAACTATTTTTCAAAGCGTTTTGATTCTCAAGCAAATGCTTAAGAAACTGAACAGCAGAACTGACCAAGCGAACCCAACTACGTCATCAGTCTCTTCTTTCGGTTTCAGCCACGAGAAGCTGATGAACTAGCCCTTTAGCCCTGGTGGCTCATGAGGTTTTCTATGTCTAATTTTTTGTTTCTCGATATAGTATACAAGCTTCAGCTATATTAATAAACTTAGCTGCTTTGTATTTAATTTTTGGATGTCCATGTTTACATTATTCTTTTTGCATCCATCTCAATACGATTCTGAGAATTACTTTTTAAGGTATCCTTTGAAAATGTTAGATTCACATCTGTCTGTTAAATCTTGTGTCATTTACCTTTAATCTTGTGAACATCAGAATCTCATTTCTTCCAGTGTTTACACTTCAACATAATTTTCAATTTATAATGCAAAAAGGATGTGATATGTTTAAAACTTTTGTAATTAATTATTTATAAAAAATGTCTTTGAAAAAAATGGAAACTTCCTTTCAGAATTATTCTTATTATTTTAGAACTGCATAGCACATTATACGGGAACTTGTATTTTTTTTAACATGTTGTATGCAGCTATATGTGCAATATTTTCTTTTAACTCTTTTATTACTATTTATTATAATTTTTTGTATTTTCTTAAAAATAATTTGTTTCTGATTTAATATATATATATTTACAAGCTCTAGTTAAGATTTTTGAAGGTTTTTATAAAACATCGTCAGGAAGTATGGATCGGAGCTTGTAAATTTGATTGAAAATTTTAGCATACATTTTGCAGGAAAACAAACTCATTTTCATAACTTTTTGAACTAATTTATTTGATTCATAGAGTAATGCTTTTAGCAAAAGTAAATACATTAGCTCTTTAATGTTCATGTATGATTTTTTTTAATGTTCTTATTTTTAAATTTCAGGGGCTGCGAGAAGTCTGATATAACAAAGCATCTTCTAATTCATGATGCTCCCAAACACAAATGTGATCTGTGTGACAAATCATTTCGTCACATAAAAAATAAAGAATTGCATTTAAAAAGGTAATCATCATCAAGAAGTAATTATGCTTTTAATCATTTTTCAGTTTTTGTAATTTATTTGGATTATTTTTCTTTTGCTTGACTGGGAAATATTTATTGTACGCTATGGTTTTCTTTCTATTAAAATGTTTATTTGTCTGAATGAAGTAAATGCAATATTGGCTTTACTCACTTTGAATTCTTTTATTAGTAAATCTAATACATAAAATTCTAATTAACCTCATCTAAGCTAGAATGTATAACGAATTTATATGTTAAGTACTGAAATCTTATTACTTAAATCTTGATATTAGTCCTTATGGCATCCCCCCCTTGATATTATTGTAAAGATTAAAGAATGTGAACTAAAGTATATAAGATGCAATTAAGCAAGAAAAACTTTTCATAAACGAGATCAGAGTCTGCAGGCGAGCTCATAATCCTTTAGTTAAAAAAAGTTCATATTGAATATGTATTGCTTTGTTGTCGGTTGTTTTAGATTGCATCAGCATGTGTGATATTCACAAACAGTTTGATAGTCTGGTTTGTGTTTTTTAGAATTTAATACATGGGAAGAAAGGAAAGATTGGTGGAGAGTTTTCATTAGATAAGTTTCATTTTAAAAATGATCTAAAAAGCAACATCTTTTGATTGTCTAGAATTTTTAAATTAAAGAATATACTTGCAGTAATATACTAAAGGTTTGCAAAAACTTCTCTGTTTCCTTGAAAACTGATGAAATGGAACTTAATGGGGGGAGGCTGTATTTTGATTTTTAATCCATTGAGGCAGATGAATCATTACATCAGAAGTGGAGAGGGATGGTTATATTTTATATATTATCATAATAAACAGAAATCGTAAAATACAAAATAATTATAATGATAATGTGTCATGGGGTTAATATCTGCTAAATCTAGGCCCTTGTAATGTTTGATACCAAAAAGATTTTAAAACTGAATTGTTTGTTTATATAAGTACCATATTTTCAGGCATATAGTATGCACTTCAAACTACATTTTTTAAATTTTTAAGTATATTTGCTGTCTAATGTGAACCCTTATTAAAAAATTTGAAAGTTACATGTGTTATGCTTATCATACTTATTTTTTGAAGTCATTCATTCAAAGATTTTCCCCAGGCTTTTAAACAATAGTATACTGAATTGACAAGCAATAAAGGGAACAATATGTTTGTGTGTGTGGGGGGGGTGAGATGATTGAAAGAGTAAATAATTCTGCAAAGAGACTGAATTGTATTAATGTAGTTGTGCATGAGAATGTTATTCCAGGGTTTTGAGAAAAGGGGGGACTTAATTTGAATGATTCTGTGAATTCATTTGGCTCTGAAGGGTAAGAATGCACTTCAGAGCCGAATGAATTCACAGAATTAGGAGTCAGATGTTTTCTCTTCATTTAGTCATTTGAAGCTGTGATTTTAAATGCATATTGAAGGTTTTAGTAACTTGCATTTTCTGTAGTTGAAATACAGTTGATATAATATCCTTTTAGTAGTTAAATATGGTTTCTGCTAAATGAAACTTTGGAACATAAAATGGAAATAGTGCTGCAGCATGGATATTTGGTGTTGGTGAAAACTCCGTACATGAATGGGAGAAAAATTAAACAAAATTAATTAATATATAAAAGAATAAATGTGCTCTGCATAAAGGTTTAATGAAATGGCTTATCTTAGAAGAGAGTGTTGCAAACTGAATGCCAGAAAATGGCCAAAACTGATTAATTATAATAAGAAACCGTTTATTTTATTTGCCTTAAAGTGGGCAAGAAAGAAAGCAACTGAAAGTAAAAACTTTAAAGCAACTTTGAGTTGGTGTAGTCAATGTATGGCATGGAATAATTTAATTCTCTGAGAAAAAACAAAAGTTTCACAAAGGCTTTCAAAAGATCTTGAAAACAAATTGATAAATTTCGAGAAGTGTGTTATCGAAATAACAAAAGTTTCACAAAGGCTTTCAAAAGATCTTGAAAACAAATTGATAAATTTCGAGAAGTGTGTTATTGACCTACGAAGGGGAAAAAAATTATTAATGGTCACATATTGGAAATATGGATGAAGCTTCAATAATGTCCGATATGATAGGAAATAAAACAATTGATATGAAAGGAACAAAAACAGGTCACATAAAAACAAGTTGTGAACAGTCTCTCCTCTCTTTGTAATGCTTTCCTGCTTAGTGAACAGTACAAAATTAAAACTCATGGTTATTTTTAAAAGAAAAATGATGGTAAAATTTAATTTCTCAAATGTTGTTTTCATTTATGTTCACGAGAAAGGATAGATGGACAAAAACAGTGTGAAATTGTGGATAACAAATGCTTGGCAAAAGTGTCCTGTTGCCTTAAAAAATCCAGAAAGTCTTTTGGTGTGGGACATGTTGAGATCTCATCAAATGGATAATATGAAATTGCTGAAAGGGGGTGATGCAGACATGGGAGTTATTCCAGGCAGATTAACTGAGCCTTTAGATGTTTGTATCAATAAACCATTCAAAAAAATTTTAAATTACAGTGGAATATGTGGATGTTAGAAGGTGAGAAAACATTTATAAAATGTGGCCAAATGCCTTATGACAGTCTCTAGAAATAGTGTGTGAGTGGATAATAAAAGCATGGAATGAAATTACATGTGATGTCATTCAAAAGTCATTTAAAAAATGGCCCACCAGCAGCCGAGTGGTAAAGTCGCTGAACACTGGTAGTTCGGTCCGAGGTTCGAATCCTGCGAACGGGCTGGCTGCATGGGCGTTTTCGGGGTTTTCCCCATGTGTAACGTGTATACGAGCCACTTTCCCTTAGAAAGTCCTCCACGAAGGCATCCCTCCCCTTAGGCAGATAGCCCTCGAGGCTTTGCCATAATCACACACACACACATTTAAAAAATGTGCCATATATAACAATCTAGATGGAATGAAAGAGAATTATTTATGTATGGGTCAGAGTAACAGTAATGGTGATGATGAAACAGAATTTAATGTTTTGTACCAGAAGATGTAAAGGAAGCTGGATGAGACAAACTTCTTGTGTTTCGTTTGTTGCGGTTCGGGTCGTTACGAAAATGAATGCACAAGTCCGATGAAAAGAACAAAAATTTATTTATTATCACAACAAAAATGCTTAAATTTCCTCAAATTATCATGCAGTATTACAATATCTCACAGTAGTTATCTTCTAACTACTCAAATGTCCAATAGAACATAAATCAAAACAGCTAAAGAAAGTTAATCCGCGAATTCGCTACAATCAACAAGAGCAGTTTTCTAAACAACAACAAACTAAGTAATTGCTACGAACTGAGAGGTTTTTCTCCCTTTATAAGACTTTTAAATCGCGTGCGAGAATTTTCTGATGCTTTCTCGAAATCAAAAGACCTGTTTATTTATTTAATGTTAAATGCACGTGCTCCTGTATTTTCAATTTTTCCGGCTTAACTTTCTTTTTAATATTCGTCACGCGCTGCACTGCGTGGGAAATAAAACCATTTAATTTATAATTGAACTAACATTAGCTTTTTAAATACCAAATTCGTAACAATATTTAAGTTGTTAAGGTATGTCATTTCTTTTAAATAAGTAGCATTTAGGTACATATAGAAATCTAATTTTTTTATATTCATCTTCCCCCTATTTTTTCTATGTATATAACTGACATATAACGTTCACCTGTAAATTTTGATCTATTTTTTTGTATTAAAAGTGCAGGTTAGACGTCAGAATATATGATAAATGTAATCTAGGATAAGAAGTGTGAAGTTTACTAAATACCACAGACTATCGAAAGAAATCAGTAAAAGGAGAAATCCAATCTAATTTTGTAAAAACAGTCATGTGCCTATAAATATCTGATTCAAAATTAGATTTATATAATCAAATAAAGTCAGTTTTTGTACTTTTTTTTTTTTTTATTTTTAAAAGTTGCAAAATGGAAAATGGAAATTGTCTGAAACTTGTATTGCTAGAAAGATCATAAAAAATTAATTTTACTGCAAAATAAGTGCTGAATTTTTGCAAATGTTTTAATGCATAATTTCTTTCTCATAAAGGAGCATCTTGAAGCAAGACTAACAGTTAGTAAAGGAATGATTTGTCAATTAGTAAAGCAATGATTTTTTTAAATGAATCACCCCAATTCACACATCAATCACATCAACCCCACATCAATTCTTTTATTTTCCAAAGTCTTTGTTGAATACTATATCCAGTCAATGTGTAGGAATTTTTTTTATCTGCAATAGGGGTAATTTTGTTTTGCATTAAAAATCAGTTCTGTTTATATCTTGCAACATATAAAATTCTGTAACCAAAAAGTATAATTAAAATTACTGTTTTTTAAATTATTTTGGCTCTGGCATTGATTTAAAAATTCATAATGAATGTGTTTTTTGACAGCAAAAATAATTTCTTCTAGGCATTTAAAACAGCGGGATTACAAGTGTGGTGTTTGTGATTTTTATGGTTACACCTTTACGGATATAAGAAAACATATTGAGCGTCGCCATACAGATCAGAAGCTTTCTACTTGTTCAGACTGTGGCCAGGCATATAAAAATCTAGAGCAACTTAAGGTATGCATATTTTATGAGACTTGGTGACTTATTTATTGTCCGGACAAATCTAGATAAAGATAAAGGCATCCTTTTAAATATAAAATTAATAAATATTATCTTTTCTGTTTTTCTTCTCTTTCTTTTTCATTTTTATTATTGCCTAGAGAAATGAAGTTTCATTAGTTTGTAGGTTTGTTTTATGTGAAACTGAAATCTTGATTTTATTTTTGATCTATCTTTCTGCAATTTATTTCTGTTTTAACATCTAAATTAAAATTAATTATAGTAATTAAAACTAAAAAGTTTTATTGAATATAAGTCAATTGATTAATCATCAGAAAGTATTTAGTTGTAATTTAATGTATAGACCAAATTCTTCCAAGGCCTTATTTGTGACCTCATAAAGGTTAATTAGTTTCAAAACACAATTTTATGCTATTTACTTAAATGCATTGTTTCCATTGGAGTCTGTTGCCATTTGACAAAATGTAAGATACAGTCAAAAGTCTTTAATCTGGACTCATCGGCACTTCGGCGATTCCGGATTATTGATTTTTCTGGATTATAGATCATCAGTTTAAATCTGGTAAGATGGCATGCAGAAATGAAAGAATTAAAAATATGAAACCGTAATTTATGAAGTAAAGAGCAATTATGATCTAAAGAGTATCAAAATTTAGCAAAAAAAAAGCTTAATATTTATTTGTTTACTTTATTAAACATTTCTTTCAACGCGCACATGCATAAAGCATACATTACGCATAGTCGAAATTAGAAAATTGCAACCAGAAAACTATTAAATGTGTATTCGTGATATTTATAATGACGAGGAATTTCATTTAAATCATATCAAAGACGGAGTACATCGAGATGAAATACTACATTTAGTAAGGAATTATAAGCTGAATAAAATAAAAACATCTGCCCTGAAGATAAGGATAGTGCTGACAGATCAACTTCCAGTTTATTGCGTGCCGCTCGTCCCCCCCCCCCCCCCCTCAGAGCCACGTGAAATTGATAAACAGATTTCGGAATGGTTAGAGAAACAAAGGATATGCCTTTATCCATTTTTTGCAGCAATTCCACTTTTTGTTTGATGGACATCAAAAACGCCTACTTTTCGCTTTGGCAGCTCCAGCAATTGGAAATTCTTTTGACATAATCGAAAGTTCAAGCTTACTTTTATAAAATTGCTCTAACAGGCTGCAAAAAAATAATAAGCTGGATCCAATTCGAAGATTAAGGAACAATGCAATCTGCAACATTAACTGAAATAGACAATTAGATAATTTTAGCTTAGCTTACACAGTCCGTTATACATCAAAAGTATACATCAAAAGCGCCTGCATAAACGTATTACGCGCATGCGCACACGCATATGCGAATGCGTAAAAGTATTATGCGCATGCGTGAACGCAGTATGCATTGACGCATGCGCAGAAAGTTTGTAGCTGCGAGGTCCGGATTATAGATCATTCTGGATTATGGGTGTCCGGATTAACGACTTTTGACTGTATTTTCTTTCAAATTAGGTCTTTCTTTTATTGATTAATAAACCAAGCTATTTAAAAGCAGTAGATACAGTTCTTAAGAATATTATTATTATTTTTTTTTTTAATTTTAATTTGATTGATTTAAAAAATACATTTAATTCTGGATATATCTAATTAAAAACATTAAACATTTTTATAGAATTCTGTTGTGTATTTTTTCACTTTTCAAATATCAGAAGAAATATAATTTCTGATGTTCATCTAAATACATATACATGTAGTATCCTGTAAAATGTTTTGTTATTCCATCTGAGCCAACATAACTGATAAACCAAATTTAACTTTAAAAGAGCCTTTTTGGGTAGGTTTTTTTAAAATTATTATTACTATATGATTTTTTAGAGCATAGGGGAAACAAGGGAAAAAAAACATAAATGAGGAGGATAAACCCTTCTGAATAACAGAGTTATCAATGAAGTATTTTTGTAGCATTTATCTACTAAAATTATGCATCAGTTGTTAAAAAGTCATGATGTATAATAAAACTTTCCCTTAGCTGAAATGTGCATAGAATTTTGGACTGAATAATTTGTTCCACTGAAAATCATGAAGAAGTAGGATATTGTGAAACATAAGCCATAGTGTAATTATCATATTGGGAACAGGGCAAGAGGATTTACCACTATTCTTTGAGTGAAATATTTTAAATTTTTACCATTTATTGATCTTAAATATTGGATGAAATTCATATAGTATTAAAATAAATGAATCCATTATACTCAGCTGGAAGCATTAAGAAGCAGGGGGGGCGAAGTCCATGACACATGTGCTTAAATTTTAGCCTATTTAATAAAAGAAATTTATCCATGGATTATTTCCTTTGTTTAATTTGGTGATAAAGCAATTGTGAACATTTCTCTTTCATAGTCTGTTGAACTTTAAATATAAAACAGACTATAGCATTTCTTAAATAAGGTATAAAATTGTTCTACCTTCTAGGAACACAAGAAGAATGGCCAGTGTCATACATACCTGTTAGCGCAGGAATTAACAAAAGGGGATGAAAGTATTTCAATCGAAGTTAATAAGGAAACTGCTTTGTTGGAAGAAATGCCACTCGAGATAATATCGGGTAAGAAATAAACTTCTGCAGGAGCAGAAGTATCTGCAGCATTACTTATGCTAGTGGTGCTCATATTTTTTTCTATTTATGATACCTATAAATGTTTCAGGACTTTTCGATGTTGTTTAGAGTAAGAATATAAGCTTACTTAACTTTTTGTTATGTGGTTGACTTTTTAAATTGATTCTTTTTTTAAAAATAAAATACATAATTTTTAATTCAGAAGTGATTTACATAAAAGATATAATTTAGAATTAGTTGAACATTTGAACTGCATATCTCAAATCTTCGAATAAAACTCTAAATTAGCCACATTCTTTTCTATTCCATGTGGAAGATTTTTATACCAACAATCCCAAAACCAGCATCACACAACTATGGTAAATATAATCAAGATTTTCTGAACTTAATTGCTTAACTACAAATATTCTTTTTTACTAATATCCAAAAGGTGATCAGTTTTATTTGATTCAGTGTGTTATTGCAATATGAAATTTTTTACTCTGGATAAATAAATTCACAGAGTGTCTTAGCTCCCAAATGAATCCTGAATCCATATAAAATTGTCAACATTATTACTTCTTCAAAACATTTTCAAACCTCCGATGAACTGCAATAGTATCTCTTGTCTAGATTTCTTATATCTAGATTTTATGTCTTGTGAGAAATTTATTTCTTTAAAGATTATAACAGCAAGAAATAAAATCTTGCTTCTATTTTCATCTCTCCAGAGCTGTAAACTATTTTCCTCCGAAACAGCAAGAAATAAAAATCTCAAAATATGCATATTACCATGCTTGAAGAGGAGATAACTCCTTGAAAGATCTTACACAAATATTAATTTTGCCTAAACACCTGTTTCCAGCGAAGTGTTTGGTTTATTTCTGGTTTCTCTTGAAGGCAAATATACATTTCTTAACATAAGGTGTCCGCCGATAACATCGCGGACGAAAACGTCGCGGAGAAGCAACGCAAGGCGAAAACGTCGTGATACAAAACATCGTGGGAGAACACATCGCAAAGAGAAAAACATCGCAGTTCTAAAACACGTCGTCGAATAAAAGCGGTTAAAAACTTCGCAGTTTAAAAACATCGTGTCGAAAATATCAAAAAATAAAGTTCTACATCATCGCATGACGATAACATCGCAGACATGCTTTTTTCAGGCTTTAAACGTAAATGGATATTCCATAATGATTTGTGAGCGCAAGATGTAAGAAGGATAATTTTTACTTTCATATTTTTTATTAAATATTTAAATTTTTGCTGAGAAAATAAGAAGAAAACTAAGCATAGAAATTAATGCTGCAACTTATAGCCTAATAGAATTTTAAATCAACATAGTTAACTAACAAAATTAATAAATAATTTTTAAAGATTCTACAGGTAATTTTTTATAAAAAGTATAATCTATTAAGTTGCATTAATTTTCTATGCTTAAGTTTCTTTTATTTTCTCAGCAAAATTTTGTAATAAAAAAGTGAAATAAATTATCCTTCCTACAGACTTGCGCTCACAATCATTATGGGAATCATGTACAGTTATTAAGCCTGAAAAAGCAGTCAGCGATGTTATCGTCATGCGATGATTGTAGATACTTTATTTTTTACCAAGATATTTTCGACGGCGATGTTTTTAAACTGCGAAGTCTTTGAACCGCTTTATTTTCGAGGACGATGTTTTGTACCACGATGTTTAGACGTTTTCGTCCGCGATGTTTTCGGCTGTAACCTAACATAAATAAAAACAAACAGAGAATTCATCACCTTGGTTGAACCATTTAGAGTTTACCAATACAATTCAAGGTTGTAATCAACTTCAATTGCAATTAAAAAAAGAAAGAAAAAATTAATCTTCTTCAAATCCACAACAATATTGTAGAATGATATTTGTGTTAAAATGTGCCGCTGTGTGTGAAACCTTGTGTGAGGCTGTTCTTTTATTCACACTACTGAGAAGAAATTACTTTATGATTGATTTCTGTAATCATTCTAGTTTATGTAATCTTTCTAGCTGAAACTTTCATATCCGCTATGCAGTATGGCTTTTGTTTATTGACAACATCTTTCAAAGTAAATCTGCATATAAGTTTAATCATCTTATGATCTTATTATATTCCTCCTACATCCTCACTCCATCACTAGTTTGTCTCATATTTTATATATTTTCTCTTTTATAATTCTTGCCAGTGTTCAATGAATACATGTTAATTTTTAAGAACAGCTTTTAAATTTTTACTCGATCACAATGTCAATCAGTTTATTCAATCTTAAATAAATCAAGACTGCAGAAGATATGTTTATTATTTGTATACAATCAAAATCTCAAAAAAGTTGTTTGCTATATCTGTGGATGTATGAGCAATCCAGTTAGGAAATTTTATTTAAAACTGAGTTCTTCAAAGTTACTTATTGCTTCGGAATAATTTATATTTTCATTTTCATTTATGTGTATTCAAATATGAGATGTTTCAATAAATATCTCGTTAAAAACTAGATAATAGATTCATAGTTCCTAGTTTGTGAAATATATTAAATCACATAGCATACTAGTAAAATTTTTGTTAGATGACACCTTTTAATATCAGCTCAAAGTCTGAGATTTGAAATTTTCAAAACTTTGGCAGATTTTGTAAATTTCCAAATTTTAGAGTATCAGTTTAAATCTAGTAAGATAGCATACCACACATGGCAATAATGTGGCTTTTTTTATTATTTAGATCAAATAAAAAAATACCTTTTATCTAAAGAAATTAAATTTTTATATAAAAATTGCTATTCTATCAGAGTGGGAATAGTTTAGGTTATATGATTTTGATAATTTTTTGGTGCTACTTTGGTAGACGGTTGCACGGATTTTTGGCGATTTACGTTGCCGCGATTTTTACAATCGTCAGCCATCTTGGAAAACACTGTTTTTACGCATAGTAAAGTATTCAAACTTTAAAAAAATTAATATCGTTAAAAGTAATGGATAATTTTTTGTGAAAATGTCGTTTTTTAAGATGCAGGCAAGTGGAAATAAATACATTTACTATAAGTATA